TATGAAGTCACACTGTCTGTCTGTCTCCCTGTGGAAGAATGGTGCCCAGAACTGTGCTCCACCCCAGCGCGGCCCTGCTGGCTTGGAGCAGAAGCCCACGTCACCTTCATCTCTTCTGTCACTCTGTCATCCATGTTAACCAAGTAGCTTCCCTGAGCTGAGTCTGCTCAGGATTCCAGGGACACAGACTTTGAGGGACAGAGGCCACAGTTGTGTGTAAGATGCTAATAGTCCTTGAGGCTACAAACTCCCTCAGAAATTAGAATGGAAGGAAGTTGTTGGTTTTTTTTCTTTTGAAAAACCAGGTTGGGCCCTGCAGACTGCCTGACCACAGCAGAACCCATGAGGGGAGAAAGAAGAGAGACCACTTTGCTACAGGCTCCTACATCCAGGGCTTTGTTAAAAGCAGACATTACTTGGTTTCTGGTACAAGCTGTTGACGTCCTCCTGATTCCAAATCGCGCAAGAAGCACCCTTCTTGAGTCTGAGTGGCCCTGTCTCCCTCCTGTCCCTCTTCTTCACTCTGTGGACCTTGGCCAGGCACAGGTGGGGGTGCAAGCTTTCATTTTATTATTCGTTTGAGTTTCAGAATGCAGCTTTACTAACCTTCAAGTTGTCACACCTTTTTCTCATTTTATTTTTATCTTCATTTTTCTGCCTCTTTTTAAACTCTGTTCTCTTCCTTCTTTTTTTTCCCTCCAGGCTCTCACCCCCTACGGCCTTCTCTTTTCTGCTGCCTGTCCCCCACCCTCCCCCTGCCAGGTCCCAGGGTGGTGGATTTTCTGGTCTGGAAGCCCGGGCACCTGGATGGTGAGTGTCTTGACCAGAGGAGGGGATGCTCGCCCCACTACAGAGTCTAGTTCTGCTGAGTTTTTTTCTTTTTTTTTTTTTAAACTTTTCCTCGTGGGCAGCGTCAAAGTGTGGTACTCTTCTTGTCATACTAATAGTTGTGCTCTCCTAAGTAAACCTGAAGCTCCATTTCCCAGAATTTCCTCCATGCCCTTTTCTCTGCTTTCATTCAGGCCCACGTAAGTGCCGGAAGGAGGCTTTTGAGGATGGGAGTATGGGTCTGAAAATACATCTTGAGACAAAGCTGGGGGAAGAAGTGAGTCACGGTGGCAAAGCTCAGGTTTCTTTCCTCCCTTTCTTCCCCAGCATCTCTTTGGTGGGGCCACTTCTCTGCCAGGGCACCTTGCCCACAGTCGTCATGGGCTGGATAAAGACCATAGAACTCAAGAGGGAGAGTGGCCTTATGTCCTACGTGGTATTCTGTTCGTCTCATGCAGCCACATGAGGAAGAAAGAGAGGCATCTTAGAATCCATGGCTTTTAGAAACTTTTAGGAAGGGATTCAGAACTCAGGGCCTTCAGCCTCTTCATGTTCAAAGTGAGGAGGCTGTGGCTTCTGGAAGGTCACAGGTTGGTGACATCACAGGTAGAACTAGAGTACAGGTCTCTGGTTTTATTATCTGGCACGTTAATCTGTCACTCAGACTGCCACCTAGAAGAGACTCTAGCCCCTTCTCTCCTGGCCTCATGGGGGAGTCATCAGGCCCTCCACAGGGTCTGAGGCAAGCCCTGGGAGCTGGGTTTGCTACTGGAAGCTTCCAGGAGCTGGCTCTGTTCTTTGCCTCCTTAGCCCCTGGGTTTAAGGCGAGGTTACTGGTAGTGGCTTGGGTAATGTTCTTGCTGGGCCCTTGAAATATTAGCACTGGGAGACCTGATTGTGTGGAGGCAAGCCATGGGCTGACATCTTGTCTTTTTGTCTTTTGTGGAACCTTGTGCTCATGTTAGCCCAGAAGCAGATGGAAGCCTCTGGGAGACTGACCAAATGGTACCTGAGGCCCACGTGTGTCCCTGGTCTGGTCCCAAGTACACTGAGGCAAGAGGTCTGTCCTTCAACTAGAGCCAGCACTGTCAGAGGGGAGGAACTGAAGAGTGTTTTTTTCACGCCCAGAATGCTTCCCACTCACTAGCCATAGGCTGATAAATGCACTCATGTGGCTCCAGGGGCCCAAGCATGTTGGAGATGCAGGTGGGTGGGTCTGCAGATATGGAATACTTTCCTAGGAGGTACTGAACTGGACTTGAGGTGCGAAGCATGGCCCTGGGTGAATGCAGGAAGCTTTCTCTTGGAAGCCTCGGCAGAGTTCCAGGGGCCACCATTCTGGGGGTCAACCTAAGTCCTTGCCCTTCTGTTAGTGGGCTGGATGAGGACCTTTCAGGTCGTACCACCTTCCTACCACATCTCCCTCTGCATGCTTTCCAGTTCACCAGGTTGAGTGCCATTGGGATAGCCTGATTCTCAGGCTAGGATGGCTTGGGTCACAATCAACAACAGCCTAGCTGCTCTTCAAGGATAAGGAGAGCTGGGGCTGCCTGTGAGGGCTGGGCTGGTCCTCAGACAAATGAGTCCATCAGCATTCTGCACACGCCACATGTCCACGGTAATTGGAGAGGCAGAGAGTCTGGGGGAGCGGGAGGGGCAGATCCATCTGGCTCACTTTGGCACTAACCACCTGGCCGTTCAGTGAGCAGCAGGGGTCGATGTCTGGTGTGAGCCTGTGCCATTCTGGAGATGGAGATGCTTAAGCCCACAGGGTGGGCCTTGTGAGAGGCCCATTCAAGACTGCACCTCTCCAGGGGTGCTGCTGGCTTGGCACTGTGGGTGGCCTTGGTTTGGCAGATGTGGATGTGAGTGGGGGAATCTCTGATCCATTGTGTTCAGGCTCCTAGCTTCATCACCATTTACTCTGTTCTCTGCAGAGAGGATTCCCCTTTTGTGTCTTGACTGCACCAAGAGGCGGGGGCCAAATCTTGGTCCCCACCCTGTTTGCACTAGCCTAGGCTGCCAACCCTGACTTGTGCTACCAACAGGCTAAGCTGAGCTGCAGTGTGTTCCCTGGTGATCTTGCCTTTTCTTAGTGATCATGGAAAGCCAGGCAGGATAGCGTGAGTGTGCTCAGTACCCAAACTGTTCAGCTCTAGGTTTGCTTTGTCCATTACGGCCCCAGCTGGGCCTGGTTCCTTCTGAATCTCAAGTGAGTGATGTGCATGGGAGTGAGCGTCTAGGATCTGCACTGGCTGGCCCCCCTCAGTGGCTCCTTTTGTTTTGGTGACAACAGCAAGCCATGGAGCTTTCTAGAGTTGTGAGCCAAAAGCTGTGGTGGCAGCTTTCTGGTCCAGTCACTCTGCATGGTGGCATGGATACCAAGCCCTGAACTATACAGGCTCTCAAGGAATACGGACCAGGCTGGTGTGCATGTGTGTGGTGGTGGAGTGGCTGTCACTCCTTAGTTCTCCTCACAATTCTTGTACTGCAACATGTTCAGGGGCCCCTGTGGCTGCTTTCTTCGTAAGGGCCAATGACTCTCCAGCACTTCTGTGTGCTGGCCCATGGGTATAAGGTAGCTGTTTGGAAAAGTGTTTTCCCTGTCACTTTCTTCTAGTACAGCTTGAGGATGGTACCTGCAAATAAGCCCACCCCTTCCTTAGGAGTCCTGATAGGCTTTCCCTGCCCCACCCCTGTTGGAGGTCAGGGGAGCCAGCACTGTAATATCTGTTACCATGGGCATGCTGGCTTCCCCAAATGTGAGCTCTTAGCGATTTTCCCAAGCCTCCTGCCAGGTGTCCCCCAAGGTGAAGGGTAACATGGGCAGAGCAGGTTGACCCTACTCAGCAGGAAAGTAACAGTATCCCTGGCATCCTAGCTGAGCCATATGCAGCAAGCTCAAGGAGAGTCTGAGCTGCCCACCCTCAGGGAACACTAGAGCCCTTGCCAGAGCTCTCCCTGGAGGCACAGGTCAGAGGAGGGCTGTGAGTGCCCTCCTCCAGCAGAGGGGCTTGTGGGCCCAAAGGCTCTGGGCCATGCTGGCTGAGCCCTGTGGCCTGGAAGCAGCTCCAAGAGAGGGCACCCCCCGGGAGGCAGCCTTGGGTTATGGTTTGTTTACTCACTGAACCTTTATCTGCTAAGTCTCTGTGTGCCTAGTGCTGTGGCAGGCACGGGGCCCATCCAGCTCAGCACAGTCTCTCGGGGACAATAAACTTCAAATTACGGTCCTGAGGTTACACCTGGACTAATTGTACACTCTGGTTGCTAAGAGGGAGTCTGAGGAAGCATCCTTTACCTTGAGACCGTAAGAACGTAAGCAAAGATAAGCCACGCAAGCTGAGGCCCAGATGGACCTGATGGACTCTGTGTAGTTGAGATGAGGCGGCCCTGGGCACATGCCATTGGGCAGGCTTTGTGCAGTTCCTCCCTGGGGGTAGAATGTATAGAATGAGGCTGGTGTAGTGCACTGTTAGGGCGCCCCTGTGTGGCTTAGAGAAGTCATACAGGCTGGAGAGGGCTTTGCAGGAAAGATCGTGCCTGGCCCCAGAAGCCCCTACCTTCTCAGCTGAGAAATCTCATTCCCTTGAATGATTTGCTTTTCTCCTCGTGGCTGGGAGGCTGAGGCTGATGCAGATAGTACAGTGCCAATGCCAACCCCTGCCACCACCTCATCAGTTGATGGCAAACCCTTTCTTCAAGAACTAGGAAGTTCCTCTCTAAGTGGCCTGCTGTGGGCATTCAGGAATCGAAACTTAAGTCAAAACATGGTGGGAGGGTTTGGGTCACTCTCTTTAAATTCCCCTGAGTTAGGGTGGTCCTGGGAATAATGCTTGAGTGGGGGCCTTGGCAGAGGCCACGTTCCTGAGCCAGGCTTAGGGTCCAGGACATCCTAGAAGCTTGCTCTCTGGGAAATGAGATGGGTCTTTTTCTTCCTGTCAGAGAGGTAGACTCCTTATCACCCAGACAGCAGCCCCTGTCCTGCAGCCTAGGTCACTTTTGGGTGGGAGAGGGGGACCAAGAATGTTCTACACGGGAGGAGTGAGGTAGTACCTCTCTGTTGGGGGTGAGTGCAGGGATGCTGGCCAGTCTGAGTACTGTGGTGGTGGCTTCATTGGGATGGGGAGGCAGTGTTGACTGCCCTCTTTCTGATGCTTGCCCTTGACCTCTAGCCCTGGCCCAGCGTCTCCAACCTGGCCAAAGACTTCATTGATCGCCTGCTGACTGTGGACCCTGGCGCCCGTATGACTGCACTGCAGGCCCTGAGGCACCCGTGGGTAGTGAGCATGGCAGCCTCGTCATCCATGAAGAACCTGCACCGCTCTATCTCCCAGAACCTCCTCAAACGTGCCTCCTCACGCTGTCAGAGCACCAAATCTGCCCAGTCCACGCGTTCCAGCCGCTCTACGCGCTCTAACAAGTCACGCCGGGTGCGGGAGCGTGAGCTGCGGGAGCTAAACTTACGCTACCAGCAGCAGTACAATGGCTGAGCCACTGGGCTGTGGTGCAGACATGGATTTTCCCGGCCTGGTCCCGGCACTGCTGTGCTGTCTGGGCCTGACAACCTCTCTGGATGGGTCTTTATGGCCAGGGGTAGGTGGAAAGTGACCCCAGCCCCCTGTCTGTGCATTCAGCGGCCTCTGTCTTCATCTTGTGCCTGGGCCTGAGAATACAGAGTAGAGGTGGCCTGGGGGGACTGTGTGTCCTTGAACTGGGAACCAGGCCTGGCACCGATTCCCCTTTTCATGGGCAAATGCCCTGATTACAAGTTGGGGAAAGACCTGGGCTTCCCACTCTCTCATTCCTTGGCTGTCCCCAGATCAAAGGGGTATGGAGTTCTGGGGAGAGGGTGTCTGTAGCCCCAGGACTCTTTGGGACAGTTACTTCTGGATCAACCCTCCTTCCACAGGGCCTTCCTCCCTGGCCCCCTTCATTTTGTGGCATCCTGATCATCCAGATTATGCGCCAGTGGGAGGCCTGGCTAGGTTTAAACAACACCCTGCCTCCCAGGCAAGATCTGCCTGACTTCATAGGGCCTCCAGGCACCCTCCTGGCCCTGGGACTGGCGAGGGGCTCTGGTGGTAGGCCATGGCATGGGCCTTGGCCTTTTGGGACTGTGTGACCATACTGGTGGCTGGTGGTAGGCTTGCCCCAGACTTAGTCCTTTCTGATGATGAGAGGATTTCTGCTCCTCTCCAGCCCACCGTTTTCAGTGCCTTTGCAGAGCCCATTGTCACCTCCCTCTCCCCCTTGCATACCTGTTGTCTTCCCCAGGTGTCTCCTTCCCAACTGTGGAGGGTTAAAGGGAGCCCCACTGCTGCTACATGGGGGTAGGGGCACCTGGGCTAAGGCAGAGGGTAGGGGCTTCTAGGGGAACCCTCATCTGGATTTCACTGTCAGCCTGCTTGCTGTACCTTCCTCAGTAGCTGCATGAAGGCGCCATCTAGTGTTGGAATGGGTATGGGCAGCCTGGGAGTGACCACCTTGGACACCCATTGTCCTGCAAGGGGAAGGAGGAAGGGAAGAGCTGCTGCATGGGTGAGGGTCCCTGGGCTGCTTGGTCCACCCTTTTTTCTGAGCTTCTGTGCAGCTCTCCCTGGAACTTAGCCATACTGTGTGACTTGCCTCTGGACCCTGAGTGCCTAGGGGCACTGACCTTCTCACAGCTGGCCTTGCCTGCACAAATCTGTCCCCATTTCCTTTCACAGCATTAACCTTCCAGTCTGGGTCCCACTGAGCCTCAGCCTGAGGTGGCCCCTGCAGGTCGTAAGTGGGGCTGGGTGGCTGCTTTTCCAGAGGTCTGAGCCAGAACTATCCCCATACCCTCTTCCCTCACAGCTGCTTCTGGGGGGTGGGAAGGGTCAGGGCCCCTGCCAGCAGGTAGGGTTTGGCCCCTTCTCAGCTCCTGCCGGTGGGCAGCCTTGGGCTAGACTCTCCTTTTCTGTGTGTGCCCCCTCCAGTGGGAAACCAAACCAGAGATCAACCACTCGATGCCTTACATAACCCCTCCCTCTGTCCACCAGTGCCTCAGGGCGGGAGGCAGTGGAAAGCCTGAACCCTATGTCTGCCCCCCGCCAAGGTGCCTCTGGGGACCTGAAGCCCTGGCAGTTTATTCCCTCTTGGGCCAAGTTAGGCCTGGTCCTGAGGGTAGGACAGAGGCATCTGGAGACTTGGGCCTTCGATAGGTCCCCCACCTGGGCCTTCATGCCATAGACCATGGATGGAGAACGTGCACTTATTTATTGTGTGTACTCATTCTGTAAATGTAGCCTCTGTATTCAGTAAACAGGCTGCCTTCCTCAGGGAAGGTTGCCCCTTGGTTCCACGAGTCCTGGCTCCTTGCTGTAGGACAAGGGGTGGAGGCACTAGAGTGGGCATGGCCACCCTAGGAAGATTCTGACTCCTTAGTACCTGCTGTGCCAGAAGAGAAAGTCCAAGTGGGGACTGGGACCCCATCGCTACCCCCCAAGGGCCTCTCCTTCCCCGAGCCAGGAAGGCAGGAATACACAGAAAGGAGCCTGGAGTCTTTATTGGATTGAGAGAGGCGGGGGGCTTGTGGGGGACTCAGTTGTAGGCTATGACCTGGTTGATCCACGTGCTGAACTTGCTAACCCGTGTGTACATGGCAGGTGTGCGCACATTGCAGTCAGAGGTGCCCCAGGAGACAATGCCAATGAGCACCCAGGCATTCCCCTTTTGGCAGACAAGGGGGCCTCCAGAGTCACCCTGTGAGGAAGAGAAGGGGGAAGGTCAGTGTGAGAGGGTCCCATGGGACTGCGTGGAGGATGGGAGGCCAGTGCTTACCTGGCACGAGGATGAACCAGAACCACCCGCACAGATCATGGCATCAGTGATACGTGAGCCCCAGTACTGCTGGCACTGACTCACAGTGACCAGGGGCAGAGCCACCTGCTGTAGACGTGCTGGTGTCACATTGCCTGTGGGTCAGGAGGGGGGTGGTCAGGCTAGCCCAGGATGGCCTCCTGTCCCCACCCTAATCCTCCCACCCAGCTCTTTGGCCCTCATTCCTACCCACACCACTGATGCGGCCCCAGCCAGTGGTGACACACGTGAGGCCTGCAGGCAACACCTCCGTTGGGGTAGCCAAGCAAACTGGTGAGATGCGTGTGGTGTACTGGGCTGGTGAGGCAAGCTTCAGGAGTGTCAGGTCGTTGTTCATGGTGCTGGGGTTCCAGCTAGGGTGTGTGATGGCCTGTGGGCCAGAAAGGGACCATGTAGGGCAGAAGCGGCACAGGTACCCAGGGTTGGTAAGTACTGAGGGGGCTAGGACAGGGCATGCCTAAATTCCTGGTTCCTAAAGCCCACCCACCTGCACCACCCACCTCCCTTCCCACCTCTGTCACCTAGTATACTCACCCGAGAGATAGACAGAACCTGTATGGGCTCAGCGTTGGATGATCGGTCATATTCTCCCAGTACGACAAAATGGCGGCCAGGGCTACAGAGAGAGTAGGGCTCAGGCAACTGGAGCGAAGGGTGTGGAGGGGAAGTGGGGCAGGGCAGGTGGAATGAAAGTGCTTACCTGACGTTGCAATGGGCAGCAGTGACCACCCACGACTGGCTGATGAGGGACCCACCGCAGAAGTGGAAGCCGCTGCTGTCCTGGAGTCAAGGGTCAGAGGTGGGCGGGCTTAGGCTGTGCCTAGGCATGAAGCCCCCAGGACCCTGCCTCACCCCCAGAACACCTAATACCTGCAAAGACACCTGCCAGGGCCAGGAGCCAGGCACTGCGTTCTCCCCGTTGACAATCCTCTGGCTGAAGCTCAGTGCTGGCTTGATGGCGGGAACACCACAGCCTAGCCATTGGGTTGATGAGGACCAGCTTCCCATGCCTCAGCCCACCCCCACCCCAGGGTGCTCCCAGGATCTGCACCCCAGAGGGGCCAAAATGAAGAGGGTTCTTCGTTGCCTCTTCTCACCTTGAAGCCCCACAGTTGCCTTGGTTATTGCCATCCAACCAGCCCCCAAGTCCTGCCCTCTCACATCTCTCCAGCCCGCTCCACTGCGTCCAGCTCCACCTCTGTCCTTCCACCCAGGCCACATTTCTCCCAAACCTCTGGGATAGTCTCCATTTTGGCCTCCCTGCCCCCTCCAGGTCTCAACAATCTGTATTCCTGTAGCCCAAGGACGCTTCCTACACCACATTGAACCTCCACAACAGCTTCCTTAACCTTCCCTAGCACCCAGGTCCCCAGGCCTGACCCACGTGGCAGTCTATCCCTTGCTCCCTCCCAGCCCTGCAGGCCTGTGCCTGCCTCCCTGCCCTGGCACCTCCTTTTTCCTTTGCCTGGAATTTTCCTGCCTACTCTGCCCATCTGCTTCCTCCCAGCCATCCTGGCTATTTCCTGGGTCTGTGTTGGGACCTGGTTGCCCCTGCTCAGTGGGGGCTAGTCAGACCCACTTACCCCAGGAGATGCCTAGGAAGACCAGGCTGAGGGTCAGTCTGAGCAGCAGCATTGTGGCAGGTGTGAGGTCAAGACCTGGGCCTGGCTATTTATGAGACTCCTTGTCCTTGGCCTGAGGCTAGGCCAGGTGTGTGGGCTCAACTCCTTCCCATGTTACAGTCAGAAGGGTCTCTTTAGGTCAAGGTCTCCCAAATCAGGCACCCCAGGAGGCCTGCACTTATCAGACGGAACCCAGGTGTGAGGCTCTCGCCCACACCCCCCAAGGCCTAACCTCTGATTGGCTCCCGGCACCACTTTACATACCAAGTGTTGATTACTAGGTACCAAGAGCAGATGGCTGAATTAGGTCTTAGTGGCAACCTCATGCACTGGGCTCAGGAAGAGGTCTCCTAGGACCATTAGGGGCCCCAGGCACTCAGAGAAAGCTGAAAGCTGTTCAGTATCTAGGCATGTTCCTGACTGGTGGAGGGAGTGTCCATCTTTACTGTGGAAGGCCAGGGCCATGTAGCCAGGACGGAGGTTCTGGTTGCCAGTCCTAAGAAATCTCGCTGCAAATTATTACTCCCACCAGCACATGGTGGGGTTTGGCCCAGAGTTTAATCTGTTGGACGCGCAAATCCATACTCGTAATGATGGGATGATGCTTGCGAGGGGCCTGGCATATAGAAGGGCTAGGTGTGACACCCTCAGTGATGGGCAGATTCACTGAAGTTGCAGCTGAAAGAGCAGCCATCAGACCTGTGACAGCTTGGAGCTCCAGTGAGCAAGCCCCTAGCTTCTAAAGCCTATCTGTTATTGAGGTCCAGGCTGAGCTTGAGCAAGAGAAGACACTCCTGTGTGGGAAGTTGCAATGGGTGAGTTGTCCGGCCCCTCTCCAGGAGCGTGAGGGCTTTGATTGATTCAGAACACATCAGCCAAAAAAATAAGATGACAATAGAGATGGATGAACAGATGTGATAAATAGAACAAAATACTGTGTAAAATTTACAGTAGATACATGACTATCGGTGTACACTTCTTTAAATTTTTCTGTTCATGTTTAAAATGTTTCATAAAGTGTTGGGGGGAGGAGGCATAAGCAGGGGCCCAGGAATGTCCAGCTCTCCCCAGAGGTTGGACTAGCTCTCCTAACCATTCCTAAGTCCCAGAGCTTAGCCATCTTTCCAAGGGCAGGGTGCTCCTGCTAGCATATGGCATTTGGACCTGGCACTCAGTGGGTGCTCAGTAAAAGCTTTGTTGAATAAATGAAGTTTTTGCCCATGTGAGCCCTGTGGCCCATCAACCCTTAGCCATTCTAGAGAAGTCAAGTCAGTCCTCTTGCTCCTCATAGCCCAGCATGTGCAGACTGAAGATCAGCTTCTTGTAAGGGGCTCAGGTGTGCCTGGTGATCTGAGGAATGTGATAGGTAAGGGCAGGAGCACTCAGAGAACTCACTCTTGGAGCCAGGGAGCAGCCCCTCTGTCGTCACTTTAACAGTAGAGTCCATGGAGGGCCTCTCTGAGGGGTGTGGACTCACTTGTTCTGGGCCAGTGAGAAACTGGGCAAAGCCTCTAGGTGATGACCATACATGGGGCCTTTTGGAGTTTACAATAGTTCCCAGTGGACAAGAGGGCAGCAGCAAGGCAGAGGAGTGACAGGGGATGTCGAGAGTCAGAAGGAAGTTGTGGAGAAGGCAACGTGAGCTTTCTACCTTGAATCTGAAGTGCTTGCCAAGATTGGGCTCCTGGAGTGGTGGGCACACAAGATGGGAAGGGCCCCTTTAGACTAGGTGCTGAAAGGAGTGGCTGCTCCACGTGCACCCTGGCCACAAGGCTCTACTGCCTCCCACCACCCAAGAACAATATAGCTCTCTGTTTAGGTGTTTGCATTTTCTGAGTTTATTCCTTGTTTCAAGCCTTAAGCCTCAGCTTACTTCACTCCATCTCCATGGCCTGCACAATTTCCTCCACCAGCTCCAGGGTCAGCGGCCTCACTGTTTTGGTCAGGACAGGTGTGGTCCCAGGCACAAAGTGGTACTGGCTGTGTCTGGAAGGAGGTGGGGCTGGCCTTTCAACATGGGTCCATCATATCCTCTCCTTGCAGCCACCTGGCTTCCCTGCTATTCCCACCCCATCCTCCCGTGTTCCCCACCACCCTGCTCCCACCTCTTTATGGGCTCTGTGGGTGAGCTCAGTGTCTGCAGCAGCTTGGCACCAGATGTGGTGATCACACATGCATCCACGCTGCCCCCAGAGCCCAGGTCACCAAGGATCCCGGCGGTGATGGCTTCCACTAGCAGCCGCTGTGCATCTTCCAGCTGTGGTGATGAGCGTGTGAGGCCTGATGTGCCCTTTTGGGGTCACCCTCTGGCCACAGCTTGAGGACTTTGGTAATTCCTTGACTATTTACCATTCAGTGTATCCAATCTCCTCTCTCCCACCTCTTCCCTGCATTTCTCCTCTCAGGTTCCTTTTTACTCACTGCCATCTCTCATTGCATATTTGCCCATTCTCTACACCTGCTGTTCTGCTACCACCAGCCTAGAACCACTCGCTGTTCTTGGTCCCAGCCCATAAACCTTAGCCACCAATTTCGCAGCAATCATCTTCCCACCCCAAACAAAATCCACGCTCTAAACCTAAGTACAGGTCCCCACTGGCCGTTCCTTGCTCCCTCTGTTACAATCAAATGGTCCTCCCTTAGCTTTGATTCCTCGAGTCTGTGCAGCCTCTCGCACTGGGCGGTCTTCTGTCCGAACTGCACTTTCCCCTCCATCACCCTCTCCGCGCTCGCGCCTCAGTCTCCACTCAAGACACCTTCACCGAGAAGCCTTCCCTGACCTTCAGACTAGGCCAGGTCCCTCTGGACTCCGCCAGCTCCCAGATGCACTTCCCACCAGTGACTACCTAGGTGGGGGGGACAGGGGTCGCTCACCGTCATGTTCGGGTGGAACCGGTCCTCCAGCATCGCCATGGCCGCGTCCTGGCCAGAGCCTGCAGGCAAGAGAAGTATCTGAGGTCAGCCGCGACCTCCCCGTCTGGGACTTGTCAAGTGCAAACGTGAGGCCAGGATGCAGGAGTGGGGATTATGGGGAAGGAACGGAAGCGCTCACCCAGGGCCGCGAAAGGTAGGCGACTGTAAGAGCCATGAGGATGCACCGAATAGAGCTGAGGTCCTTTCACGTCCACACCCCCCACGATCAATGACGCGCCCACGTGACCGCGGTACCTGGCCGCGGAGTGGGCGTCGTCATCCGCATGCGTCGCGACCCAGATCCCGCCCCTCCGTCCTAGCCCCTACCCTTCCGGTGGCCAGGCGCTCCAGGACTGACACAGCTCCTTCCTGTTGTACTGTTCTTAAGCCAGCCCCTTCCGGTCTCCCGTCACCCACCCTCTCACTTGTCTCTTTCTCTTAGCCCCGCCTTCCCCGCGACAGTCCCGCCCCCGGGTCGTCTTAGCTCCGCCCCCAGCACCGGAAGAGCATCTGGCGCAGAACACGGGTGACCGTGGCCACGCGGGGCTCGCGGCCAGTTGACAGCGCGTGTAGCTCCATGTTGGATGCCGCCATTCGTGTGGTCATCTCGGTGTCTGCAGCTACGCCAGCCCCACAGCAGCTGAGGACGAAAGGAGGGTCGCTGTGGGCGGGGCTAGGATATGCAGGGGACGGGGCGTGGAGACGAGAGGGCGGTTCTTGAGTGGGAGGACGGGGCTGGGAGGGTCCTTACTAGATTTTGGGGGCGATGAAGTGGATCTTCTCGCAGTTCTTGTCTGCCACGACCGAGTCGTTAGTGGCCCGCGTATCCGCGCCCAGGATGACCCCGTCCTGAAAATGTTGAAGTGCTGTTGTGTCAGTGCCCGTTGGGTCCTCCAGCCGCTCCTCTGGGCTCTCGCCAGCCCTTCTCTTACCCGGAAAACAAGGCCTGCGATGGTAGTCCCGGTCTTGCGTGCATGAGGGGCCCGGAGCTCCGGGAGGACGCGTTCCAAGCATGCGTTTCTGGAGAGAGAGGTTTTGGCCCAAGTTACGGTTCTTCCGGGATCCCCCAACCCCCAACACCGTCCTGGATTTCCTCTTTCTAGGGTAAATCTAAGAACCCGAGTCGTATGGACCACGTTTCCTCACCACCACTACCACCGGAAAAAAAGCCTTGGGACCCACCACGCTCCGAAGCCCTCATGGCGGGGCTCGGTGGCGCTAGACCAGTCCCTTCTCGCACATACCTCTGGCAGTTTTCAAAGGAGAATCCCCCTTGAGGCTTCAGCATCTCTGGGCAGACTGAGCGGTCCAGGGACAGTAAGTCGAGGGGTCAGACAAGTTGGTCAAGTGAACCGGGCGAGCGGCGGTGGGAGCGAGACCGGCCTCGGCCTAGGATGCCACGTTAGATGCTTCCTACTTTCGCTTTCGCCTTCACCTTTACGGAAGCCTCTCGCCCGGCCCTTCTCTAAACTTTCACCTTCCTTTCGTTCGAGGCAGTTTGGGAATGGAGGCGACGCCTGTACTTCCTGGGTCTTCTGAGCATACAGAGGGGTCTGAGCATACAGAGGGGTAAATCCCTGCCCCTCGGGTCGCTGAACAGCAGCTGGGCCTGTGTTCATCTCCCCTCCTGTCTTCCAGTATGAGCCCCCAGGTCTGCTTATCCTAATCCTAACTCTAATCTTCATTCCTAAAGGTCTAAAACTGAGCCCATTGGCCAGATCTATGGCATTAGAACTGGCCTCTGACAGCATCATGTGTGGTTGACATCATTAGTCCTTTGCCACCCTTCCCAACTCCTGCTCTCCTTTGGTGCCTGCCTTTTCCTAGGGACCTCAGTCCTGAGGCTCAACCCTGAGCCATGTTGGATGCTGGTCCTCCCAGGGCATGTATGTGTCCACCTGATGGCCTGGAAGCATGCAGGGCTATACCGACTGCCAAGCTTTACCACCTCACGTCCCAAACGATCCATTTTATGTCCACATCTTCCTCCTTGCCACTCTCACCTGGGTTCTGCATTGGCCGCCTCCCTACACTTTTCCACACAGGCCACACCCTTTCCCTGGTTAAAATCCTTTGGCAGGTACACTCTGCCCTTAGGTTGATTAAGCCCACATCTTGAGTGCCCAAGTTGACCTTCTCATCCCTCTGAGCTCAGTATGAGCACCAGCTCCTGTGGGAAGTCTTACCTGACCCTCAAGACTCAGTCAAGTTCTTGCTGCTCTTGTTCCCCTTCTCACAGAATTTAGCTCCACTAGTAAACTAATCTGATTAATAGGTGTCACTCCTCTGACCAGACTCTAAACTGTGTGTCTGTCACCCACACAGCAGGTGCTCAAAAGTCCCTGTCTAGAGGAGGGTCCTTACCAACTCTTGGGTGCTGGGAGAGACGGTCTGATCTTCAGTGATGAGTGAATCTTGGTGTGTGGACCCTAGTGCCTACCCCTAACTTACAACATACACTTCTGGGCTTAGAGCAGCAAAGGTTTATTCAGGGGACAGGGGCCCTGGGCTGGCAGCTGGGGGTGCAGGGGAGCCTTGGCGGTAGGCACCCTGCAGGATTGCATTGATGTGCTCCAGTGTCTGGTTGCTGAAGACCATATTGAGGTGCTGTGTCCCGTGCAGGGGCAGAAGGTGCACAGGTTGTGGCTGGTGGCCCTTCCAGCGGCCACAGAGCTCAGTACTGCGTGTGGCCACTGTGTCATCACCGTCCTCATAAAGTGCAGCCACAGGGTCCGTGTAGGGGAAGTCATGGTCATAGATGTAGGTATGGGGCGTGGGCAGGCCCACGCCATACAGACAATAGACTTCCACCCCAGGGGCTGGGAGCCCTGCCAGCAGATCACGTGACTGTAGCCACATGTACCAGCCTTCCTCAAAGTGCACGTCTGTAAAGAAGCGGTGGAAGTCACGGCCCGTGTAGTTGAAGCTGGGCGTGGAAATGAATATGTGGTCCTCAGGCCATGCTGTGCGGGAGGGAAACATCCACGGAGAGGTCGTTGTCATTCGCTGCTCCTCCTTTAGCTTGATGCTGGACATAATTGGGATGCCCTGGTTGTCACCTGTAGATATGCAGCAAGGTAGGTGGGAAGCCAGGCTGGGCCACCTCCAGGCCATACCTTGTCCCAGCCTAGGCTTAGCACGGTGCTGAATGTTATCACTGTCCAATACAGACATTGCCTCTAGACCAGAGCACACAATCAGTAGGTGCTCAGTGTGTGCTTACTAAGTAAGAAGTCCCAACGGCTCCTCTCTGGATGGGGGTTGTGACTGGTGGGGTGGTGGTGCTAGCTCTTCTCTCTCAGGCAAATGTCTGTTGGACTCTGGGGCTTATGCTGCATAGGGCCAAAGTGTTGTGTCTGGGAAGGTGGCAATGAGATCCAGTTTGGCATTTATCAGTATGAATTTTATTATGTGTATCTGTTTCCCCCACCAGAGCTTCTAGGAGGAAGGTGAGTCTGGTTGTGCCCAATATGTAGCAGTGCCACTCCTCGGGGAAGGCAGGGGGGTTCCTATAGCCTGGGGTTATAGGGACCAAACCTTGGGTTATGAGTCAGGTTGCTGGGGGTTATTTTCTCTGGCCTTGTTTCCCCTTTGTCATCCCTGTCAATCTGGCAGGCGCCATCCTAGTGGTTCAGGCCAGGCTCATTGGTCTTGGTGACCCATGTTGGGGCCCCAGGGAAGGAGGCAACACTTTCAGAGGTCAGCCTGGGATAGCATGAAGCAGAGGCTGGACTGAGGGCAGGTCCGTGGTCAGGATGTAGGTAAACAGAAGAGACCTCTCACCTGAAGCCAAGACCAACATGGGCTTAATGGAGCCACCCCATGGGGCCCCGAGAGAGATGAATCCATCGATGAATCGGTCCTTCCAGGACTGGGGCTGCTGCAACAAGAAGTACAGCAGGTGCAGACAGCCAAGGCTGTGCCCAATGAGGAAGATGGGTTTCCCATAGGCCTCATGCATCTCTTCAATCAGCCCAGTGAGTTTCCGGTAATAATCTCCCTGCTGGCCTGCAAGTGGTGGGTGGGGACAGGGCTGTCAGGGTCAGGGGCCACCTGCCCCCACCCGAGCCCATTACTCATAGAGATACTCACTGGGTTCCAGCCGCCAGTCGTAGGGGGCAGCCCGCACAGTCTCATCCCGAACATAGCCGTTGTTGACCAGATTTTGCACCAGTGTATGCATGTAACCTGTGGGGGCATCAGCAGCATTGGGGGCTCTGGCTCCTGGAGCCCATGCCCTTTATCCCAATACACCTACCTGCCAGCTTGTTGTTGTCCAGGTACTCAACAGAGTAGGTCTTGCCAAAGCCAGGTACACGGATCTGTACACCAGGGGCATTGGACACCTGCCCAGAGCTGCGGTTATAGATAACCCTGGGGGCAGTGGGACATTCAGCAGGCCAGTAGCCAAGGGCAGGGCATGGAGACTGGGGTAAAGGGGATGGCACCCACCTGGTGTTATCGATCCAGCAGTCTACCCCAAGAGGCAGGAACATATTAAGGTCCAGCCATATGGTGAAGAAGTCCTCTGTCTTGCGGTAGCACATCCAGTTCACCACGTCTGGTTTGTCCAGCTTAGCTTCTAGCTGATTCCCCAGGCAGCCAGGCACTGCGGGCACGGGCCCTCACTCTGGACCCCTTGGATCCCCCGTGACTCCCTCCCAGTCTCACCCCTAGACACTGCAGACACCAGCCCCACACCTTGGTCTCCCCTGCCCTCGATTCCCACTTAGGACACTGATTCTCTTTGTGATGACACTTCCTCCTGTCCCCCCAGTAGCCCAAAGCCTGGGCTCCCCTCGAGCACAGAAGGCTCAGGGGCCAAGGCCACTGACCCCTACCTCCAAAAAGCAAACATCCAGCCTGGCTCTCATCATTGTCAAAGTCCAAGGTGAGAACAAATAGGTATGGGGAGTGGGGGCTGGGCCTGGGGTAGGGGTCTGGGCTAAATGGGCCTCTCCTACTGTGGACTGGGCATCTTGTTCTTGATTGAGTGGGGGCCAAGGAGGGAGTGGTGGGGCTGGTCTCAAGGTCTGCTGTGGCTGCAGCTGAACACAGCTGCTAATGCTCTGGTCAAGCTCTCAGGCGCACCCCCCCCCACACACCCAATCCCTAGGACAGAGGTTTCAGCACATAGAACAGGTTGGTGGGGGGAAGGGAGCAAGTTCCCTGTAGGATAAGCCTTTGGCCCCTTGGAACACCAAGGCAGCTATCAGGGCTCATGGCGGAAGGGCCCTGGCTGGGCCTGCCACTGGGGGCTGGGGTCCAGGCTCCCCAAGGTCTGGCCTGGTGCGTCAGGGGCCTGGCGGGGGCTTACCGAGGATGACGGGCCGTGTGTGGTTACTGAGCTCAGCCTTGGGCGTGGTGTGCGGGGGGAAGAGCACATTGAGGAGCCAGAAGGGGGCAGCAGGGGGGAGCAGCAGCCCCAACAGCAGCCCCCACTGCTGTGGGGAGCCAGGCAGCCCCATTCCAGCCCTAGTGCCTGTTGCCCACTGAAGCAGACCTGGGTCGGCCTTATCTGGAAAGTGGTGGGAGGGCCCCAAGGCTAGTGGGAGGGGCACCTTGGCCAATGGGGATGGCCAGAAATGGCCGGAAAGGGGCACGGTCTCCAGGGAGCTGGCTCTGGGCCGGGGTTCAGTTCCGCCTTCCTCCCTTGGCGCCAGGGGAAACAGAGCCAGGGCAGTGGGAGGCCCAGAAGTACACAATGTTTTATTGAAAAAAGTCAGGCCTCCACTTGGCCAGCTCCACTCAGCTTGGCTTGGTGGGGGTCCCTGCCCACAGAAGCCTGAGCCAGGCCTTCCTGCAGGCAGGCCAGACCCCCTCCCGTGCTCCCCTTCCCTCCTCCTCTGATGACATCCCAACAATAAATATGCAATAAATAGTGCTCCTGGGCCGGCTGTCTTCAAACCCCATGGCTGCCCCCACCAGTCTTTGCAGCCAGGGCAGGCCTCCCGTGTGCTGGGTGGGAAAGGCCCCAGACCTCCCCCAGTCTTACAGGACCTGGGATCCATCACCACTGCCAAGCCCAGGCCCATCTCCAAGGAGACCTAGCGAGCTGCGTCCCAGGCAGGGCTGAGCAAAGTGAGCTGGTGAACAGGTGCTGGGATGGAGCTGTTACCCTGGCCACCTCCACTCCGGGTCACAAGGCTGTACTGGGTTCAGGAGTAGATGGTAATAACTTCGCGGCCACCGCCACGCACCAGCAGTACCCGCTCCAGGCCCTCAGTTAGCACCTCCAGGAACTCCATGTCTGCAGGGCATGAGGTCAAGGAGGCAACACCAGGACCAAGGGGCACCCAGGGGTAGTCTGCCCATTTATTAGAGTGGCGGCAACCTGGGTTACCCCCACCCAGGTCACCCAGAGAAAGGAACACTTGGCCTGACCTCCCCACTGCCTGTCTCTCCACAAAGGAATACAGTTCTCATCACCCTCACTGTTCTTGGGTGGGCCGGGCATGTTCAGCAGGACCAGGCGGGCATCATGGGAGCGCGTGACGATGACTTCATTGAGCTTGACAGCCGTGTGCATGCGTCGCACATTGGACTGGTCCCTGCAGGCAATGAAGCTGATCACGTCCTGATGAACTCTACATCAAGGCAGCCCTGCCCTTGGCCCGCCCACAGAACTTGTCTGTCCTCACCCCACCTCCATCCCCAGACCCTGAGGCGGCTGGATCCCTTTTCGCTGCACTCACGGCTTAATGTGCACCAGCTCCCGGAAGTTGTCAGGGGCATGGCTGGGGTCCCAGGTCTCAGCCACCATATACTTGTCCCGGGTCCATGTCATCTGGATCTTGTCAGTCCCAGCTGCAGACTCATCCTCCTCGTCTGAGTACAGGCTCTCCAGCCGCAGGGCTGAGTGACGGTCCTTGACCAATTGGGCCTGAGAACCACCCAAGGAGGCAGCCTCAGTGCCATGGCAAGAGGGGGGCCTGGCTGCCCCAACATGACCCCTGACCTCAGGAAAATTAGCACTGCCTTGGGTGGAGGTAGGGGAAGTCATTCTGACACCTCACCTGATGGCATGTCCCAAGACCCAACCCTGCCCCCCACCCCTGGCTGGAACCAAGGCCACTGACTTCTCGCTCCCGCTCAGTCTTGGTCAGCCTCATCTGCCGCAGCATCTGGGACCGCTGCTCCATCATCAGTGTCCGCTCATAGGTATATGCAGAGATATCACTGTTGTGCTGGGAGAGGGGGTGCCATGAGGACCGGGAGGGGTGGGGCCAGGTATCTAGCACGGACAGGTCAGGGAGGGCAGCTCACCATCTCTACCACTTCGACCTCAGCCTCAAGGCGTAGGTGGTACAGGAAGACAGCCAGATCCTTCTTCATCTGGATACTGTTGTCATCCATCTGGGCCACTGTGAAGATGCGCATCCGGCACTTCCTCCAAACCTACAGAAACAGAGCAGGTGGGTGATGAGTCACACCCCCCTCCGAGGACCCAGCCCCTTGCCCTTGCCCACACGCCTGCCCACCTTGTGCTGGCGCAGCAGGAAGGGCAACAGCATGAGCATGCCCCCGTCGTGCACGATCCACCACACGTCGATGTGGCCTTCCAGATAGCGCTCATGGTTGCTGGGGTAGAAGGCGATGTTCTTGGGCACAAGCAGGGCCAGGTGGGCAGCTGTGGTGCAGCGCACAGTGTCTACAGGGAAGGGCTCTGCTCACTGCCAGCCTTCGACCCTTCTGCCTCTGCCATTTCACTTGGCCTCCATCCCATCCCATCAGGCCTAGCCCAGGCCCTGACCCCTGACGCACCAATAAAGGTCTTCCAGGAACGGGGGTCCTCACTCTGCCGCCAGCCGTAAGGCCAGCCCAGCACCACTGAGTTGTGCCTCATGCCGCCCAGGCCACAAGACTGGATGAGGTGGGCCAGCCCCTCACGCACCTTGCTGGCGACCACCACCTGGCAGAAGCCCTTCACCTTCTCAATCTCCATCATGTTCTTGATTGTCTGTGGGCAACACACCAGGGTCAGAAGCAGGACTACTAACTTCTCCTCTGCTCAGCTCCTTCCCAAGGCCCCTAGGGCATATAAGCATTTGGGGGTAGGAGAAGAAGTAGGGGACAAGCTGCCCCGACAGAGGCCATGTTCAGGATGGGACAGCTACACCCAGCTTGCTCCATCTCTCAGAGGTCACCTATGCCATCCACCTGGCTGGCCAGGCTGGCCCAGTCCCCTCCCCTCCATGCCACACCTCTGACCCAGCTCAGCACCTGCCCCCTGCAGTGAGCACCTGCTCAGCAGCCTGAGCCTCGCCATAGCTATCTAAGAAGCTGCCCTGGATGACAGATCCGACGATGGTCAGGCCCTTGCCAGCCTTAAGCTGGGAAGCAAAGGTGAGGAGCCGTGGGTACTTCACATGGAGGTCTTCGTCTAGCTTCAGCAGCACCAGCAACTGGGGCCTGTGATGGCCGGATGGGAAGGCAGCCTGAGACCAGGGCCAGAGGTTTCCAGGGAGCCCTCCACCTCTTCCCTCCTTGGGCTGTGAGTCCCATACATTAAGAGAGCATGGATCCAAGGGCTCAACAAACAGGAGGGTGCCCCTGGCAAGCCAAGATGGGGACTATGGACTAGCAAGAGGGAGCCACCTCTTGACCCTCCCATGTTGGAGTGCCCTCTGAGAACCTGGAAGTGGCCCTTGCCAGTCTGGGTGTGAACTCACCGCCAGTTCTTGGTGTGAGGAGGCCCCTCCTCTAGCCGCAACAGTGCATAGCGGGCAGCACTCAGGGACAGGCCTCGGATCCCGTCACCCCACTCCTTCTCAGCCCTGCATATGCCATCAGAAGCTGGTGAGCACCTGGTCACACCAGGGGTTCTGTCTATGGGCATATGGGATGGAGCGGGCCAGGCCTTCAGTCCCAGTCCCAGTGCCTAAGCTGGTGCGTGCTCAGCTCTGCACCACACACACCACCCCATGTGACCCAGTCAGGCACCCTGAGTGCTGTATATGCTGTGGGCAGAGGCTAGACAGCAGTGCCTCACTTACCCTTGGTACTCAATGTACTTGTAGATCATTCCTGCGATGAGCATGGCAACCAGAGCATAGTACCAGGAGGAGACAAACATCAGGGCCAGGCAGAGGCTCATGCCCAGGAAGGACAGCGCCCTGGGCCAGAGTAGGGGAGGGGCAGAATCAGAACAAGACCAGTAGCACCCAGGCCATAGCCCATTCCGTCCTGGTGGCCTATCAGGTCCAGCATCATAAGCTGGGTAGGAGACATGGGCCAAGCCTCCCAGTCCCACAATCCCCCTCACCACAGCATTGCACCAACAGCAGCCACTGCCCAGGAAATTCAAACCCTGTCTAGAAAGGGGTTCCTGATCCCCAGTCTCTTGTGTCAGTGGACTTGGCTTATTCCAAGGTGCCTCGACCAGCCAGCACTCACCAGTGATAGTACTTGAACCGGGGCCGCCAGTTGGGGGTCCTCAGGAGGGTCTGCACGGCACAGGCCAAGTTGACAAACAGGTAACACATCAGAAAGAACCTGCAGCACAGGGAGATGGTTGGTGAAGAGTAGCTGCCCTGGCGGCCAGGTACCTGATGTCCTTGACCTCCTCAGGCCACTGGGCCATGGCACAGCCCTGCCTGTGTGGCCTTAGGCTCATAGCACCCACTGGGCAGCATGGATCCAAGGGAGACCAGCCTTGGATGGAGCTATCACAGGGAAGGTGGCCTGGGAGCCGAGTGTGAGCAGACAGAAGAAATGGGGAGGGGGCCGCAGGCAGGGAGGACAGCGAGTACAGAAGGTGGGGAAGGATGGTACGGAGGAATGGCAAGATGGTCAGTGTGGTGCAATGCCTAGATGAGATTCACGTCTTGGTCCTGGATGAACAGTTGGATGAGGGGCTGCTGTGAAGGCGGGAAGGGATAGCAGGTCAAAAGCTGACAGGGACTATTTCTAATATACTGAGTGAGATACACTGTGGTGGGTGTGAGAGTGTGGGGGGCGAGAGGCCTACTGTGTGAGCCTTTAGGGAAGACAGTGAAGGACAGACACCAACCTGCCCCCTCAGTCAGTAGGAGAGGAGGGGCAGGGAAGGCAGGATGACTGATTGGAGAGGGCGTGCCAGGGGGCCAGCGTCCCTGGTGAGCGGGGAGTACTCAGCCCTGTGAAGAAGGCTGAGCTGTAGCTTCTGGTTTGGGCAAGAACAGTTCCAGGTATGTACTTATGTGTGGGTAGAGGTGGACAGCAGTGGGGTGGCAGAAGTTCTGGGTGGACAAGACAGCACTGACCCCTGCAGGCCTGGCTGCGACTGGGCTGGGAATGCCCACAGGGGCTGTCAGCTCTGCAGGCTGGATGGGCAGTGAGGGGCAGGCCCTTGACAGTTGAACAAATGAGAGAGAGCATGTGCAGTGGAGCCAGATGTCTAAGTAGATGCGGGAAAAGGCCCCGGCACGGGCACAGGTGGACACAGGAAGCCAGCCAGCTCTGCCTCACGGACCCCCAGACACTGCCACAAGCTGCCCACCCTCCGCAGGGCCCTGACAGACTCAAATGCTCAACTCGTTCCAGAACTTTAAGATGGATGGTGAGGGGAGTGGTGACTTTATCAAGGTCCCAGGGACAGAGGTCTGCCAGGTGCCTGCTCTGGGAAGGGGGTCTCCATTGTTCTCTTTACAATCTCTCTGTAAGTCCAGATTCACTTCTGACTGAAGGGGGAGGGTGAGCCCTGCCAGGTAAACATCCCCACACATCCTAGCATGTTTCCCAGCTGTGCGCTCAACAGCAGACAGGGCCACAGGGAGGTGTGGGGACGCCAGCTGAGGGGGGCTGAGGGCGGCTGAGGGCTCAGAAGGCCCTTCCCAAGACCATCCTTTGGTCCTTGAGGAAGCATGGTAACAGGGATCCAGCCACCCAGCACCCAGCCCTGCCCAGCCCTGGCCCAAGCTCACATGGACAGAATAGGGGCCACCATATCGAGGGAAGCGATGAGGATGCCGAGCTCGGCGATGAGTGCTGTCAGCAGGAGTGCCCACGTTGGTTCACCGTTTGCCTTGCTGTGGCCAAACACCTGCATGCACAGTGCCAGTGGGGTCAGCCGGGGAGAAGCTGGTCCCATCATGCCATTCCATGCCTTAGGCCACAGGCACAGCCTGGCCTCCACCACCCCCAGCTCCCTCCTCCGGGGTGCAGGCCACCCCCACCCCCACAGGTGTCACAAGCTTCCCCACCCCCCGCCTTTCCAAGCCTCTCTGCTTGGGATGAGCCATACACAGGCCACGAGGATTCTGGGTCCAAGCAGCACTGCCAGTATCGGGGTCAGGCCAGGGCTGCTGTCAGCTCCTCCACAGGGATGGCTACATGGCTCTGGGGCCCCTTCCATATCCCCGAACACGCTCACCCAGCCAGTGTGAGGCACCAGGAGCACCTGGGCTGCAGAGTGTAGAAGGGCTCACCCGGAGGAAGGGGATGATGTTGTCCTTGGCAATGGCCTGCAGCAGGCGGGGTGCCCCAGTGAGGCTCTGCAGGCCAGCACCACAGGTTGAGAAGAAGGAGCCGATGACAATGACCCAGGGTGAAGGCCAGGCCAATGTGCCCACCACCAGGTTCCTCTTGACGCCATCGCCATACCTATAGGGGCGAGGCTCAGGCCATGCTTGTGTGAGAAGCCCCCCAAGCCCCAAAGGGAGGGACCAAAGTCAGGACCGAAGGCTAGGGTGGACATCATCATCATCTCAGGAGCAAAAGCCCTGGTGTGGCCTGATGCACCTGGTGGGACACACTGCCAGTGATAAGCTGCAGTCTGAGACCCTGTGTGCAGGACCATGTGTGTACGTGTGTGTGGGGGAGAGGCTGGTGTCTGGGTAGGCGAAAGCTGAGCCCACTGCCACTGAGAGGGGCCCAGCTCACTCACTTGTCTCGGAGAACCACACCCTCGATGCAGGCGCCAAACAGAACCACACTGCTGAAGTCTGTGGCTGTGTCAAGAAAAACTAGGCCCCATTCGCTCCCCACACAGCACCCATATCCCACTTGCCCAAGCCTCAGCCCACATTCAGTTGGAACACCTATATACAAGGAGGGCTTCATGCACACGCATGCCCCTTGAGTGTGTGCAGAGGTAAGGTGTGCACATGAGCGAGTGTGTGCTGATGTGCAGGCCATGTGCCTCCTGCCCTGCTGACCCTGCCCCCAGACCTGGGAAAGGATACACACAAGGGAGGTTGTAACAATGGCCAGAATGGTTCCCACTGGAATGGACTTCTGGGCGTCACGGAGGTCCCCGGAGCGGTTTGAGCCAGCCATAATGCCTCCAGAAATAGATAAACCTCCCTCAGTGACTCCCTGGAAGTGGGGCCAGGGCTGGGTAGGTGGATAAGAGGGGCTCACCTGTTACAGAGGGGAAGAATATGCCAACCAGCACAGTAAAGGATGTGGCGATGTCGGCCACCACGTACAGGGGCAGGCTCCCTTTCAGGCCAGCATCGTCTGTGGAGGGCAGCCCGCGCTTCTCCACAACCTCGCCCTTCTCCAGGTAGGCACTCCAAAGGTTTTCTGCAGGGGTAACAGCACCACCACTACAGTCAGGTGTAGTTCCCTGGGGAACTTCAGTGCAACCCAACCAGAGGCCAAGGATGCAGAAAGCTCTGGAGGCTCAGGGAAATGGCTGCAGCCCCGTGGCAACAGGGTTAGCCACAGGGCTGCCCTGGCCCCAGGGGAGGAACTGTCCAGCCAGAAGTCTGACTGGCACAGGTGGCAAAAACGCTACCAGTCAGAGCCCCACCACTGCCTGCCTCCTAGACAGAGGCCCTTTATGACTCTTATGCAAACATCCCCAGGAAGCATCAAGGGGCTGATGTCTGAGGGAAGAGGGGCTGCCAGAGCTTTTCGGGGGCTGCTGAAGTCCTGGGACACTGGCCAAACGGGCTCTGCTTACCCAAAACCCGGCTGGTGGGAGCCAGGCTGAGAGGACACTGCTGGGCTGAGAAGGCAGCCAGATCTGTCCCCCTTTCCTGAGCTGGCCACACAAGGACAGCTCTGTGTTCTGCTCTCCTTCCACAGACATTCCCTGGCTCCTGCTCAGCCTAGGGGCTCCGGAGCACGAGGACGGGCAGGAGAACGTACCTTGGAGAACGCTGGCAGCTGCACCAAGGATGCCAGGGATCTCGGTCACGTTGTTCAGCAGGAAATAGGGGTCGCAGGTGTCAGTGGTAAGGTTGGGGCCGTGGCAGAAGAGGCTTGATAGCTGAGTGGCCACTGTCTCATTATTCACCATGGTCGTCTTGGCACAGACATCAAACTGGTCCCGGGACAGGGTCCTGTTGCCTAGCATGCACACTCTGCAAGGGATAAAGGCACTGGCACCAGCCTGCAGTCTCTGCCACCCCAGGCATGAACGGTTGACCTACTAGCTGGAAGGCTACATCCCTGGGCTACTTACGGAAACTCGGGAGGGTCAAAAATAGACTTGATGCCACCAGCATAGATGGAGAGGATGGAGATGATCACACAGGCCAGGAAGAGTGAGGCAAACTTGTTCACATACTTGACACCAACAAATACTACCAGGGTCATAAAGGTCAGAAAGATGGTCCCATACACCCGCATATTGTTCAGGGTGGCGCTTGATGTGTCATGGGTGCCTGTTGGGTGAAAAATGGCAGCCGGCGGGGCAATGTAGGTCTGGAACAAGAAGATTGATAAAGAGGGTTTGATCTTCATATCTGCAGAGTGCAACCTGTCCATCTTGGCTTCTTTTTTAAAAGTATCCAAAAGATGCCAATCATAAATGTTACTCGGTACAATTTCTGCGAAACGTCTAAACAGGCAAACCCAAAGAGAGGGACTGGGGTGGCTGCCAGGCGCTGCAGGGAATGAGGATAGAGCGTGACTGCTAACGAGTACAGGGTTTCTTTTGGGGTTGACAAAAATGTTCTAAATTATGGTGACAGTTACACAGCTTTGTGATTATACTAAAACCGGTGAATTAGACGCTTTAAATGGGCGAGTTGTATCTCAATAAAGTGATTTAAAAAAAAAAAAAAAAAGGCTCCAGTCACGGGAGCCAACCTATCAGAGCTCCCAATGGCCAAAGCTGGAACAATCTGAGCAACAAAATAATAATAGGGTTGGATTATCACTCAAAAGGTTGAATAAATAAATAAGAGGAGGGACAACTTTTCCTTATGGAACAATTCCACATGGCAACTGTAGAAGGAATGCAGAAAGCAGAAAAAACAAACACACCATCACTCCCCACCCTCCACCTCTTCTGCTGGTGAGGCCATTCAGTGGGGAGTGGGATGCTGAGCCCGAGTACTGGTGGGGCTCAGGGAGGAGGCTCCGACCTCCAGACTGGGTCCTGCCACTGCTCTCTCTGATTTAGGAGTGAGGAGAGGCTGAGTCGCAAGGCCCTGGAACACAGCCCTAAGGGGACAAAGCTGGGCAGAACCCAGGGGTCCCACAAGGCAGTCTCTGCACCACCACCAAGACCCACCTTGCCCAGCCAGCAGGAGAAGAGAGAAGGGGCATGGTGGGGAGTACAGGGTGACCAATGCCCACCCCTGACAGGGCCACACAGCAGAAGGAAATGCTCCAAGAACCCTCTGGGTGATTCCCAACTCCTGGTCCTCTGCCTGCAGCATGGACCTTGCTCCAGGACCCTGTCTGTCTTCCTAATCCCAACATTCCTTCTATAGTTCACAGAGCACCTGCATGGCTGAGACCGCGCTCTGGTGGGTGTAAAGATCCAAGACTAAGGGAAAGGTAGCCAGGCCTTTTCCCCGACTGTCCCAAACTGATGAGGGTGGTGAGGGGTAGACCAGAGGGCAACAGTCTGGGCCCCTGAGGAAGGGACTGCACAGACAAGACGGGGTGGCCAGGGCTCAGCTGGACTCACCAGTAAGATCTCGATGGCGCCCAGGATGTACATGGCTGCTGCGAATGTTGTTCCCAGGTAGAAGCACAGGCCCACGGCGCCTCCAAACTCGGGCCCCAGTGAGCGGGAGATCATGAAGTAGGAGCCCCCAGCTACAGTGGAGAAAGCAGTCACAGGTCGGGGTTGCTCTTCTTCCAGGGCTCCCCATCCAACCTCGGAGGCCGGGACCGCAGTTCCCGTTTACAGAGCAGCAGAGATTTGCCAAGGCTGCGTGGTTAGGAAGTGCTGGGTTCAGGTTGACTGCAATGCCCTGCACGGGCTAGTGAGATGGTGACTCTGCTGGGGCAGCCTAAGTCACAGCAGTGCTCGAGCCGGTCCCACAGCCACCTCTGGCTAGGTGCGTCCTATCTCAGCACTCCTCACCACTCCGTGGGCCATGTCTTTGCTAGCCTGACCCCTCCAGACCAGGGTGGGGCTGTGATTTGTTCAGTTTTTGTCCCTAGAACCTGGCACAGGGACTGCCACCAGATGAGTGTTGACAGCCCACCTTCCTGCTGTCAATTTGTGCTTCCACATGTAACAACCCTGGCAAGACTGACAGAGTCAGCACTGGACCCAGGGGACAGGAGTGCTCCCATGCCACTGGCATGTATCTCATGCTGATACAACCTCCCTGGCGAAAAATGTGATCAAGATTTTAAAAGTGATGAAAAATTTTTTAAAAAGTCAAGCCATTTGATGCTGTAATCCCACATCTAGGACTCTCTCCCAAGGGAACTGCTAGGGGCAGTTCAGGGGTGTTTGTGATAACCATTTTTACAATAGTGGAAAAGTAGAGCCCAAAAGCAAGAGAATGATCACATAAATTAGGCTATAGTCTACCATGTGGAAGCCTGCCAAAAAACAAACAGTATCAACACTGGGAAATATATGCACACCCATTATGTATGTTTGTTTACACATACTAGGCAGTACTTTGTAAGGACATTACCCCATCTGCCAAAAGGTTAAGAGTAACGAGTTCAGGATGGTGGGAATTTGGGTGCTTCCAATTCTCCTCTCTCCACTTTTCTGTACTTTCAAATCCTTTCATGGTAACAAACATTGCCTTTGTTTGGTATTACTTTTATAATCATAATTGAGAACAAAACAAAACAAACACAAAGAAGTCTCAAACTCTGTCAAGCAGGGAAGCTCATAAGTGGTGGCTCTGCTGTGGAAGCCACGGACCAGGGCCTACCAGAGAATCGCTGGGGGTGGGGTAGGGTGGAGTGAGAGCTCCTGAGATGTCAAGGTGGATTCTGGGCCCCATTCTCCCAGCAGACCTGGGGCAGTGCTCACCCACCTGGTACCACGCCATTGGTGGCGATGGCACTCATGGAGATGGCTGTCAGCAGGGTCTGTGGAAAGGAGGTGAGCAGCTCAGCTGGTGGGGTGGGCGCTCTACAGGGCGGTCTCGGCCAATGCCACCCCCCACCCCCACCCCTGTCCCGGAGCCTCACGCAGCAGCAGCAGATGAGCACAATGAGGAGGGCCTGCAGCACTCCAGCCGTGCCCACCATCCAGGTCAGCCGCAGGAAGAGGATGACCCCGAAGATATTCTGCAGGCAGGGCAGGTACACTCCCATGAGGGTGCCCATGCTGGGCGCCTGTGTGGGCGGGAGGAGAGGGGTGCATTCAGCATCACGGGGCCCAGATGCACTATGCAGGGCCAGCCCCTAGGCACTCAGCAGCCCCCACCCCTGGGCTTTCTGCCCAAGAATAGGGTGCAGAGGGCACCATGGATGGGGCTCTGGGGAGCACAGGGGGTGAGTGGCAGCTCGAAGGTCTATATTGACTTTGCTACATGAAGACAGTTCAGGGCTGGGAAAGAACAAAATCTGATCCTTTTCAAATCTCCAGGTGTGAGCTGTGAAATCTCACCTCTCCCTTAAGGTATGGCACCTGCCCTTTCCTCCTTTATCTTTTAAACTGTGGGAAAGAGGGGTCTGCCTTGCCTCCCCACTTTCTCACCCAGCAGGCCCCAAGTTACTCAAGCCAGAGCCCCACAAGTAATCCCTGGACTTCCCTCTCTCTAATCCTCCAACTCCAGTCCAGATAGACACTGCACCTGGGCCAGTTGGCCTCCTTGCTGCCCTGACCTCAGCCTGCTTCATCCCAACCTTAGTCCCTTGCACCTGGGTGGCACCCTCTATCTGTCTATCAACTTCTCTATGTTCCAAACCACACTGCTGCCAGAGCAGATCTCTAAAAACTAAGTCTGACTTCATTCTCCCTGCTGCAAATCTTCTACCACACCCTATAATCCACAGTGTGTGGTCCAGACCCCTGGGCTTGGGCCAACAGACCCGCCCCATCACCTCCCTTGTAAGCCCCAGCCCTTGACCTCATGGCTTCATCAGACTTCTGAACATGAGCATGTCCCGGCTTCTGCTGGGGATGTCAGCCCTACTTAGCAAACTCCTCTTCAGTCTTTAAGAACCCAGTTTAACTGTTACAGGAGCTCTGGTGGCACAGTGGTTGAAGTATTTAGTTGCTAACCAAAAGGTTGCAACCCACTAGCCACTCCATGGGAGAAAGATGAGTCAGTCTGCTTCTGTAAACTCTGTGGGGGCTGTTCTACCCTGTCCTATAGGGTCACTATGGGAGTTGATGGGAGTTGGCTTGGTGTTTTTTTTTTTTTTTTTACCTGTTACCTGCTGCAGAATGTTTCCTTAGGAAGACTCAGCACTCCTCTTGCATTGCCTCAGCATCTGAAATACCTCCTATTGCTGTGGTCACTACAGGTCATGGTAACTGCCTGTTCATGCATATGTCTCATGAACATAGTAGGGCTAACCTGGCTTCTGCACTGTTCTGGCACTGGCAGGCCCTGCATGTAACGTGCTCCAAGATGTACATGGACATGGTGGCTGATGCCTCTGAAGGACCCTGGGACTCCTTGTTGGGAAAACAATGCAGCGAGTAGAGAACTCAGGCTGCAGGTCAGGTGGGAAAGGGCTAATGTGATGATTCAGATGGGATATCTCAACTACATAAGGGCCAAGGAATCCAAGCTCAGGGCAGAGTAGAAGTCAGCCGGGAGAGCAGCGCAGAGGCAGGACTGCCACCTTTCAGTGCTGAGCCTCCATGAGCACAGCCCAAGTAGAAAGACTTGGCAGCTTCCCCTGGGGCCCCCAACAAAGCCTCTTGCTGCTCTATGAGAACCATGTGACCACAGGAACTCATCCAAAGGGTCCAGGCCTGGGGCAGTATCTGTATGCAGCCTGAGGGACCTCAAGAGAGCCTTCGTTGGGACAGGAATTATCGCTTCAACCACCCTGCACAGTGCAGGTGACGGATAAACCTCATCTGAACTCTGGCTGAGCTCTTCTCAGAGGCCCAGGACCACCTACTGGGGAGTGGCAGCAAGGGATCCCAGCTCCACCCCACCCCAGGCTGAATCATGCCTGGAAAAGGGCAGTGTGGGAAAGAGCAGGACCGGAAATGCCTTCTGCATACCCAAATAACCTCTGGCAGTCTCAGAAGGTCAGAAGGCCAGAGCCAGAATGGCTCCATGGAATAGTTCCTTTGGGTCTTGGCAAGGTTTGACCAGAGACCTGGCTTTCCTGCTTCAAGCTTTCCTTCTCTGAGGCCCCCGCTCAGATCCACCCTGTGTGGGACCATAGTGCAGGAGCACGCACACCTCCTAGGTGCCTACAGACTCCCTGTGGACTCACTCAGGTCTCTCCTTTCTCCACAGAAAAGCTACTTGAGCCAGGATGCTCAGCCACCCCCTCCCAGTCTCACCCAAGGGTCAGGAGAGCTGAGCAGCTAAGCTGAGGCTGGATCCCAGCATCCCCACAGGCTTCGCAGTAGGCCAGAGCCCCTCACCCTTTGCCCAGCCCAGGCTTCCTTCCACCACTCCTACTGAGATCTGTACTGGCCTCCGTTAGGGCCTTTTCCACTCCCAGCCATTTGGCCTGGCGACACACAGAGCAAGCTCTCACTTAAAGAGTCTTGCCACCATTGTGAACAACACGCTCAGAAAACGAGAGGAAAAGCAGCACCTAAGGGTCTGGTAGCAGCGGGAGAGAGGATATGACCCCCTGAAGGGCTGGATGGGGACAGACAGGGTTCTCCACTATCCACAGCCCAGAACATGCCAATAAAACCAAAACCAGCTGGATGGGTGGGAAAGGTCTGAGAGCCACCAGGACCAAGCGTTGGCTGCTCTCTCTAAAGTGGAGGCTGGTTTACTGTCCAAAAAGGCAGGATCAGGGCTGTATTTCAGACTCCTTCCTTGGCTTGCCCAACAAAGCCTAGAGCTCATGAGCAGACCTGAGGGTGGGGACCCGGTTTACCCCAAGAGCTCCTTCTGCCTGCACTGACCTCCAACAAGAAGTCACAGCTAGTGCCAGGCCCAAGTCCTTCTAAACACACCTGCTCCCCAGACCTCAGGGAGTAGGAGTGGAGAGGGAGAGCCCCTTACCTTCACACAGAAAAACCTTTTCTCTCAGTTAAACCAAGCCCTGCCATACTGAGGAGAAGAGCAAAGTCTTTGTGGAAAGAGAGGAAGACTGCAGGGACAGAGGTGTGGATGATGGCCCGACAATGGGATTGGGGTCCAGGAGGACAGGACAGTGTCATGTTCGTATCATACACACGTCCCCCGACTCTGGGCTACTGAAGGAGTCTGCCAGTGGAGCCTTGGGCCGATGCAGTGTCACACGCTCTGCGTCACACAGGCCTCAACAGACAACCAGGTTTCTGGCTCCAAAGGCAACACCCTTGTCCATGCTGGTGAGCTGGCATTCTATAGAGTTCCATGTCTCACAGTAAATCCACAAACCCATCTCCCAGTGTTACGAATTGGTCTCACCAAGCCAAGTCACTTTAGGCAAGTTCTTAACATCCCTGACATTCTGTTTCCACATCTGTAAAATTGGGGTGGGAAGAGCAAAGCTGGGTGGATGATATGAGAACCCAGGCCCACTGCTTAGCAGTGTGTAGCACACAATGAGGACTGAGTAAGGGGCAGCGGTCACTCTTACTGTCATTTCTGAGGGCCCCCCTGGCCCTATGCCTCTGAGGAACTCTTCCTTGGGCCACCTCTTGAAGCCTCCTTGAACCTGAGGCCTGAGTGCCTTTCTTCTGTGCTCACCGACCTGCACAGTGTCCTCCCAGAAGCACTCACAACCATATGGAGACACTGCCCTTCTATGGTGTTGTATCTGTCTTTCCAGGTTTGGCCCCTCTGCTGCCCCTGACCAGCTCACCTTGGCCGCTCTCCGATGGGTCCCCTCCCCACTCTCAGCCTCCTCGTGCTCCTTGGCACCCTGTGTTAGGTTGGTGTAGCTGACGAGCTTGCCCAGGAGAGACGACACCTTTGGGCGGATGTCCAGCTCTTCCTGTAAACAGAGCCACAGGACAGGTTGGAAATGAGCCAGCCCAGTGCCAGGCTACCTGAGTGTGCCAAGCCCTGAGGCAGGCCTGGACCTGATCCCAGCTTTTGCCTGGGGAAGCCGAAGTCAGTCAGCTGAACTGGTGTGGGCACCATACCCCAGCACGTGGCACTCAAAAGGCCCAGCCCAATGGCTGCAATCACTGCCAACCTATCTGAAAATTATCTGCCTCCGGGGAGAGTGGGCAGGGCAGGGTGCGGCCGACAGACAGGCGAGTGGCACACTCCATCCTTGATACCTGCCTGCCTGTTCTGCTGGCCACCTCCTGGTTATGACTGGGCTGCCCAGGCTCACCTCTGCAATAAACACCCCCACAGTAAAGCCTACCCAGTCACCCCAGGGAAATGAAGAATTCCAAATGGGGATACCTGGGACAAGTGAAGGTTCTCCAAGCCCCAATCTACCTGGATGGTATTCCCTCCCCAGCTTCCAGCAGCTGCCAGCCCAGGCTCGTCTCTGCAAGAAACCCAGCCTGTCCCTGGGGTAGGATCCTGGCTCCCCAGCCCATTCTCATGTGGGGCCAGATCAGGGACTTCACTACACAGCCTTGCTGTTTTCCCAGGTCAGGAGGCCTCCTTGGAGCGTAGGCTCCGCAACCGCCAGCCCTGACTGGGCTTTCTCTGATCCCGTGGCCTCTCAGTGCTGTGCCTCCACCTGCCTCCTCACCACATTTCACCACTGCCTGCCTGTTAGCTCCCTGTCCCTACACACAAGGGAGAAGAAAGTTTGGACTGAGAAGCGAAGATGCAGGTCCTTCAAGGCATCTGGAGATTGAGAAGCCTACAGGACTTCCATGGGGTGGCTGGATGTGTGGGTCAGAGTTCAAGGGCTTAATTTATGTCCTAAGTCCAGATTTCACTTCTGACCTTAAGTCTGAAAAGGGCAAAATTAATGTTCAGAGGCACAAATTTGGGAGTTCTTTTGGGGAAGCATCCATTGAGAAAGAGGAGTCAGATTCAGTGGGAAGGAACAGGCCTCGGTGAATGAGAATGAGAGGGGGCAAATTTGGATGAGCCAATCAGGAAGGACAAGGAGTTCACAGAAGACAGAAGAACCTGGACTGGGAGAAGTTCTAGGGGTTGAGGAAGAAAGAAAATCCTGAGATGGGAAATCCTGAGGAGGTGGTCCCTTTACTGAGGGATGCAAGGAAGTCAAGGGTGATGACCCCTGGAGGTAACAGTGGGAGTGGGACTCCCATTGGGACTCCAATGGGATAATGTGAGGGACTCTAGGAAAGCAGTTTCAGTTCAAAGGGCCAAAGAAACCAGTCTGGATGCTAAGGGGAGAATGGAAGAGGAATCAAGACACAGGTTTGGCTGTTTAACTATGGTTGGGTCCTGACAGGCCACTGCCAGTCACCCTGCCTGCCATGCCTGCCACCCAGAATGGCTCCTCAGATACCTCAAACAGTGCCAGGTTCCTGTCATAGTAGTCACTTCCTCTGGAAGCCTCCAAGGGACTAAGGAAAGGGCTGCTCTCTCTGTGGTTGCCATGGCCTGTGATAAAAGGACAGAATCCCAGTCAGCGGCTGCCTTTTAAGCCCCAGCCTGTGCCTCTCCCCAGCAGACCAGCCTCCAAAACGTCATCACTGCAAGGCATTTGGGAAGCCCACGTGACCAGGCTGGGCCTGTTTACCCATCACACCCTGCCCCCCTCCTTGAAGGGCCAGAGGTAACAGTGGAGTTGCCAGTGACCAAAACCCAGTGCATCATTCCCTCCAGAAGGGCACTGATAGGGAGGGCCCAAAGCACACGTGAACACCAAGGGGCGGAGCATGCCCGGAGGGGCGTGGCCGGTCCTGACCCACTCTGAGGCACTTTCTGGCAGGTCTGGAATACCCAGTGCCCCAGGCGCCAAGGGCTCTGTGTCCTCAGGGCTCCCCCGAGTGCTGCCCTCCAGATAAATAACACCACACAGGGCGCCTTCCGCCGCCATGGCCGGTAGGTCCCCTGCTAGCTATCCCACCATGCACCGCACGGGGCGTCCTGACACAGGTAGCCAAGGGCATGCTAGGAGGCCCTGCAAGCCAGAGGCCGGAAACAGTGAGAACCATGTAATTTGGCGCCAAAAGCATCTGATGTCTTCAATGAAAGCTAGTCAGAGTGGGTGGACTGCATAGGGCCCAGGAAGGGGAGGCAGTTGGGTAGTGCAGACGGCTAGCAAAAGCCTGTTCGTTAGCCTCGCTGCCACCAGATCAGGTCCGAGTGGCTGACCCAAGCAGCCCATTTCCTCACCCCCACCGGCCAGAGAGTGCCAAGGAAACCTTGCAGAGAGGAGCCAGGTGCTCCTTTTTATAAGCCTCCCTCTCCCCACCAGCGCTCGGCTGCTTTTTCTGGCTGCCCAGCATTCACACTTCTCCCTGTTTTCTGAATTTTGTCCCTTCTGAGTCTTGATGGGTAACAAGTCCTGGCTTTCCATCATGGAGACAGAGGACACCAACTATTCCTTTTATAGACACAGTGTATTCTTCCCCCAGACAACCTGGCAGTGGCAGCTGTGGCACTGGCTTAAGGTCTCACAGCAAATAGGAAGCAGACATCTTTCAAAGAAGCCACCTTGAACTCAAAATCATTAAAAAAAAAAAAAAAAAAAGGCCAGGTTTGCTGGTCTGATAGAGCCTGGTGAGACCCCTGAGACCATGGCCCCAAGTTACCCTTAAAGTTTGGAACTGAACTCACTCCCCTGGCTTCCAGCCAAACAGCAGATAGGTATATGGGGTGAACATTTACATCAGGTAGATACGCTTCGCAGAACAATCAATCATGGGAGAACAGAAGGGCAATGTTTGCACAGGGAGATAGCTTGGGGGGCAGGAGTGTACCGGAGGGAAGGGCACAGGAAAGAGGTAACTACAGGAAGGAAGTGGGAAGAGAGTTGTTACATTGTGGGGAATTGCAGTCAATGTCATGAAACAGAATGTGTATGAAATGCTGTAAGGAACATGAATTTGCTGTGTAAACTTTCACCCAGATCACAATAAAAATTAAAAGAAAAAAAAAAAAGAAGCCACCCTGATGTTGAATGGCAGGGAGTGTGGCAAACTGTGCAGTGTGGATGGGCTGTATGGTGATGGAGGTATCATCGCCCAGACTGGTGGTGTGATTGCACCACGTGCTGGCCTGGCCTAGTTCTACAAGAACTACTATGAATCTTTTCTTTGTAGATTGGCCAGAATTCATTTCTCTTGTTTGTGGCTGAGAATACTGACTGATGCATCCTCCTCTGTCTGATACATCCTCTTGCTATGGATATGCGATTCCACTTGCCCTTTCTGAGCCAACAACTATTCAGCAAGTGTTGTATGGTGGATTTCTTATCACTCAAGGAAACTGACAGGTAAGTATGCCTATGACAATTTCCAAGGCAAAATTTTCCAGGGCAAGATTGGTTCTTCTGCCCACAGCATGTGAAAGCAGTACACCAGCCTCATCCAACAACCTGGACTAGCTAAGGGAGCCAAGTAGCTAAGTCCTATGTTTGCTGACTGCATGTAGGTCAAGGTCAATGGAACAGTGGACACAGGTGGCCAGAGGTCAAGCTAGAAAGTGGGGACACCAAACTGTGATAAGGCTTGTTGGGGCAGTGTCATGTAGTTCTTCACACACCCTACGGTATTTGCCATGCCCTCAGTGTTTGTTCAGGGTCAGAACAGGAAGAGCCCCAAGAAGAATCCGAAAACTCAGCAACACTGCCCAGTGCTTTGATGGCCCTTCAGTTAGACGCCTCTGAAAATTACACTTGGATGATTGTGACAAAGAAAGTATCTTACAATGGAATACTATGCAACACTGAATAATAATTTAGAATCTGCGAAACACCACATAACATGGGTGCATTTGGAGGACATTATGCTGCGTGAAATAAGTCAATCAGAGAAGGACAAATATTTTATTAGTTCATTATCGTAAAAAGTCAAGGAAAGGTTATATATGAAAAGAAACTTTCTTTGTTGGTTACCAGGGGTGGGAGGGGGAGGGAGGGAACACTGCTGAGAGGTAAAGACAAGTATTGATTTGGGTGAAGGGAAGGGCAATATACCAAAAGTGAGTGATCAACACGGTGGTACTGAGAAAGACATAGAGAGGTACATGGGAGGTACAGACAACAAAGATGAACCCTTTTGCATGTACAGTACTGCACTGTCAGTGATGGCAAGCATTGATCTATAGATGGCTAAATGGGTGGACAGGCTGAACAATCAGGTATGTCTAGGCAGTGGGGACTGAGCCCATGACCATATATATGGTTGGCAGATGATATTTCTACATGTATATTTGTATGTGCTGTAAGAACATCTGTGTGTATAGTAGAGCTGACAAGGGGCAAAGTTGTGGTGGCTTCTTGGCCACAACCAGCTAGCCTTAGAGAGTATTTGGACTTGTGGGCTCAGGACCATGATCGCAGGGGACATCAAACTCGACTGGCATAACATACTACACCAAAACCTTTTTCTACATCCCACTTTGATGAGTAGCAAGTGAGGTCTTAAAAGCTTGTAAGCAGCCATCTAGATGCAAGGGTGGGTCTCTCCTCATCCAGAGCAAAAAAGAATGAAGGAAACCAAAGATGCATGGAAACAATTAGTCCAAAGAACTAGCAGACCATGTGATCCTCAGCTTGTATGACCATGAGACCAGAAGAACTAGATGGTGCTTGGCTACCACTCAACCACTCAGAGGGGGATCAGTGTAGGAGATCCTGGATAGAATAGGGGAACAATGTAGAACAAAACTCAAAAATCATTTAAAAAAAAAAAAAAGACCAGGTTTGGTGGTCTGATAGAGCCTGGTGAAACCTCTGAGACTATGACCCCCAGTCACCCTTCAGGTCTGGAACTTAATTAATTCACTCTTGTGGCTTCCAGGCAAACAATAGAGAGGCACATAGGGTGAACATTTATATCAGGTAGATACACTCCTTGGAGTGATAATGGGAGAACAGAAGGGCAGTGTTTGCACAAGGTGATAACTCAGGGGAGGGGAGAGTGCATGGGAGGGAAGGACACAGGGAAGAGGTTAACTATGGGGAGGAAGTGGGAAGAGAGCTGTTACATTGTGGGGAATTCCAGTCAATGTCATGAAACAAAATGTATATGAACTGCTGTATAGAAAATGAATTTGCTCTGTAAACTTTCACCCAAGTCACAACACAATAAAAATTTTAAAAGAAAGTGTCTTTCCTGAAGAAGTCAGATATTTTATTTTGTCTGAAAATGGCAGCTACAGAACTCATCTTACTTCTCTTTCTGCCTTGGCTGCCAGGAATCTCCAAGCTGAATTTATTCTGTAGCCACAATCACCATCTGTCTCATCTCAGAGTCCTTGTCCTCTTCCTGTACATGGTTTCTCATCTTTCTGACAGTAGCAGTTCTTTGGAGGAGGCACTTTTGTTGCATACCTTGTCTGATCTTTTTGTGGAAGTAGGTTAGAAATACATTGTAAGGTATTCTAAACTTATGCACTGCAGCCTGCCACACCATTGTTGCTTTGTCTCTGCGGAGACTGTTCTGTCCAGGAAATGCAGAGTTGAGCACACATTAGCACAAGAAAGTGCCTGGAGATGGTCCTTCAAGACCCGGTCAACCCTTCTACCCTTGAGCCCTCACCTCAGGACAGCTCTGGTCCTCACAGAACCTACTCCAGGCAGGTATCATTTACTCCCTTTTAGAGACAAGGACCTGAAAGGTTCAGAGGTCACTCAGTTAGGATGGGCCAGACTTGGGTCCTGGGGTCTACCAGACCCAGGGGAGGGCTAGGCTCCAGGTTCCTTGCTCTTATTCTGTACCCTCTGAGGATCCATCCCAGGGTGCAGTACCACCTTAGAGATAGAGACTAGTGTCTGGGAGATGCAATTTGGCCAAGGCTCCACATTCCCAGGCCTCTGGGTGCCTAGATGGCTGGAAGCCTGCCTCAGATTCTTGGCCCATTTCCTGTGTACCTAGGACAACCTGCCTACCCTCTATGCACCACCTTGGGTTTCTTCTTCTATAAAACAGAGCAACACACACTCTTCCAACCATCTAGATGCATCAGAAAAGGGACAAGCTGGTGCCAGACACCCCGGAGCACTCCTTGGAGTTCCCTAAAGCCTACTCCATGGGATTGTGGGGATGTGGGGAGGTCTGAGCAGTGACTGGATGTCTGCCCTCAGTTTCAGGCTGCCCATTCAGGCCTCAGCTATTCCAAAAATTCCAGGGCAGGTCTGGACAAGCCTACCAAGTGGAAGCTGCTCAAATACCACCTGAGACCCCCAGTGAACCTAAGCCTGGGGGCTATCTGTGTGGTACACACGTATGTGTGTTCCCTCGGCAACTGTGAACAAATGAGCTGCAGGTGGCCAGATGACCTTCTTGATCCCAGGGCACAAGGGCATCTGCCTGGGGTGCTCCTCCAGGACCTCCCCCCACTGCCCACAGGCCTTGCTGGACCTAGACGGGCAGATCCAAAGGTCCCTTGGAGCAGATGTGTGAACCTGGAGAGATTCAGGTACCAGGCTGGGACCCCCAAAAGACAGACCTGAGGCTCCATTTTTATGTCCCAAACCCTTTCGAGTCCCCACCAAGAAGGTTCAACATCACTTACCGGGGCATAGGGTATCCCCCATCTTACAGCTAAGGTCAGGCTGAAAAGGAGTAAGAGGAAGAATGGGGGTAGTGGGTGGAGCTGGTCCAGAGGGATCAGCCAATGTGGTTCCAGGTCCTTGCAGTCACCCTGTGAGGGGCAGGGCTGGTGCTGCCTACTGGCTGAGGCTGACCCTAGGGATGCAGACTGGCCTCTGGGGTGGAGACTGATAAGGGAGCAGTTAAGTCTTCTTCTGACCACCTGGACAAGGCTAGGGCTAAGTGAGGGAGGACATGGGGGCACACATGCAGCTGTCAAGCTGGTAAGCTTCATGATGTTCAGCAGCCCATGCCACTGTCCTATGCCATTTGCACACAGGTCCCTGACTGCCCTGGCACCATCCTCCATGGCAGTCAGGTCTCATACATGTATGGCCATTACCTGCCTCAGGCATGAATCACACCTCAGTCGTTTACGCGAAACATGATAATATCACCGACCAGAGGCAGGCCAAGATCCTTATCACCTGACACATGTCACCAACACACATTTCCATCACTGTCAGTCACAGACGTGACAGCATTTATCATCCATCATCACTCATATCTCCATCCTAATCACTGATAACCCGGGCAGGCAAGTGGCTGGGAGAAATTCCTGACCTGACCCAGCCTTCAACCTGTGACCCGCAGCTTCACACTTGCACTAGCACGATTACACATGCAGATGCTACCACACATACAAACCTATGTTCTCACATGGTGTTCATGCTCCAAGAGTGGGTCCTAGAAGGTCAGTGCCCCAGGGGCCTCCTGGGGTAGGAAAGGGGGAGAGGGGCAGAGGCAAGCACCTGCAGGAGGAAGGAGGAGCCAAGCCTGGACACCTAGGTTAAAGTGCTTGAGTCTTGTCTTGGGTTTGAATGACCCCCAGGGCAAGTAACTTGACTGCCCCAAGCCTCCATTCACTCCGTCCCAAGTGCGAGTAACAGTTTCTATCCCATGGTGGTTGGAGGATTAAACGAGTTAATTCACGTAAAGCGCCTAGACAAAGCTAGCTCTAGCTACGTAAGAGCTCCACAGACGCCCACTGCCCTCTAGTGCGCAGGATCAACACCATGCACTCGCCGGCAGTTACCCATAGACCACCTCCAGCCAGCACATCGCACATCTTTCAAACCAGCGGGGCCAGGGAGCGGGGAGGCCCCTGGACGGAGGAAGAGAAGAGAGGTAAAGGATGGTGTTGGGGAAAGAGACGCCGAATCACAAACGGGGAGGCGAGGCGAGACGAGGACCGTGTCGATACCCAGGAAGGAAAAGGCCTGGGGTCCAGCCCTCTGCTGTGCTCTCAGACTGGAGGAGCCGGGGATGGAGGCTCGGCGCTGTTTGTGCGCGGAGCAGCCCTGGCTTCCCGCGGCCGCCACGTCTGCTGCCCCCGCCCGCGGCTGGCGGGGAGGAGCTGGGGTGGGGGGGACGGCCCAGCCGCCGGCGCCGGGGGCCGAGGAAAAGCGTGTCAGCGCGCGCGGCGCAGGGGAAGAAAAGTTGGGCTTGCATCGACGTGTGCGCGCGAGATCCAAGTGTTTGCAAGCGTGTGCGTGCGTGCCTATATGTGTGTGCGTGTGTTTGAGCGCCGGCTCCGCGTGGCCCGCGCCCCGCCATGGCCCCTCAGGGCGTGCCCTCACCGTCCGAGTCGTCCCGCTCGGCGCTCTCCCCGTAGTCCACCCAACTGAGCCCCTCGAGGTTGTCGTAGTCTCCGCGCCGCGGCCCGTCCACGGGCACCACGGTGAAGTGAGGCATCTCGCGCGCTACGCCCCGCTGTCCCGGCCGCGGGTCCCGCTGTCCCGGCCGCCCCGAGCCCGCGCGCCCCGCCCGCGCGCATTCCTCCCCGCTGCGCTCACTTCCTCCGCCCGTCCCCCGGGCCGCCCTTCGGGGGGCGGGGAGCGGGAGGGGCTCGAGCCGGCTCCTCCCCGGGTGGGGAGCCCTGACGGGGTTACGACCCCCGGACTCCCAGGAGGCGGGGGGGGGGGGGCCCGCAGACTCCTGTGTGACTTTGGGTTGGCGAGTGCTCTCTCTGAGCCTCCAATGCGATACTTGTACAGTGAGGAAACGCTCCCTCACCTCTTGGGGGCTGTCTGAGGGCTCCGTGAGATGGGGCAAACGGGGCACTGGCTGTGAGGCCTCCGCCTAGAAAGTGCTGGGCGACGATTCTGTTACTCAGAGAGGGGAATGGGGGACATGAGACAGGCTCAGGGCTGCAGAGGCTATCCCAGTGCTGCCCAGGACTTCCAGCCATTCCCGTGTACCGTCTACCCTGCAGATCATCTTCCTCTGAACCCCTGTGCCGTCAGGAAGGTCCCATCCCTGTCACGTGCCTCCTCGCTGCAGGTTGTTCGTGATGGAGGTGGCTGGGAAGTCCCCAGGCCCCACAGATGACTCTGTACAAACTCAGTACCCTGTGGGGAATCCCAACCACACAGACGACAGACCCGGTGCAAGGCAGGAGTTGGGGCTGTAAGTCGTCAAGGACCCCTTTCCCCGAGGCAGCTGCCCTCTGGGAAGGAAGGAACCCCTGCTCTTCCACCCCGTTAGCCTCTTTGGACATTACACTGGGCGCTTTAGCCAAATTCCTGCATTTTAACTCTGACTGCCTCCCCCTCCTCCAGCTGCTTTACTAAAGTTCTTACTTATCTCCTCCTAACTTTTTTCTTTCAGTTTGTACCCCACTGCTTCAGACAGCTTGATCCATTTGTCTTTATTTAGCATCTTCATCTTTATTGGTGTTCCTTTCAGCTCCTTTTTTCTCTGACAGAAAACCTCAGGGCCCATTTTACTTGTCTGTCTCCATTTTGCTCCCTTTTTGACTCAGAGGCTTTAGAATATCAGAATAGTATCTTCCTGGCTAATGTGAGTTTCCATGCCTTCTAACAGCTGCCTTCTACGGGCCTCCAACTCTGAGTGGAATCAGAGTTGCTGGGGACCCCCCAGCCAACCACCATTTTGAACCCTCCTCAACAGCCATCAGGCAGGCAGGTCTGTCCACTTGACTTCCTGCCCTTCACCCCATCACCACCAGCAGCCATGGGCAGCTTACTTTAGCTGCCTTACAACTGTACTCCCTGCTTGGTAAAGCCGTTTCTTCTGAAGAAAAGGCCTCAGATCATTGCCTGGGCCGTGTTCCATCTGGCCCCTAGGACCTCTTCAGCCTCATCCCTTGCCACCTTCATCTCCAGCTATAGGCCCATGTGGTCACTTTGCCTGGAATGCTTTCCTACTCCCGCCCCCACCTCACCAAACTGCTTATCTAGCACCACCTCCTCCTGGAAGACTTCTCAGACAGCCCCCCACACACACAACAATATGGGTGCCCCTGGGACAATTTACCTTCCTAGTACCCATCTCTGAGAAATATGTCGGTGGGAATCTTTGATGAACATTTGCTGTCCCCACTAGGCTGTGATTTCTCAAGGGCAGAATGATGTGAGTGAGAGTCTTTACCCCAGTATCCTCTGTACCTGACCCCAGAACATTTTTTCGATAAAGAAGGAATAGGTGCTCTCTTGGTCCTCCCTGTCAGTCTGCAAAGGTTCCCTGTAACTCCTACTCCCACCCTCAGATACAGCCTCTCTGCTCAGGGGAGGTCAGGTCTTCTGTGTGTGGGGGTGGGGAGTGGGGATGGGCCACCACAACCCAACAAACAACCTCAGAGGGCACTCTGTGGCTAGGATGCAACTTCTCCCATAACACTGACTGACCAAGTAGGCTGCACCACCATGGGAAATAAGCACTCAGGCAAGAATCAAAAAAGATATTTCAGGAGTACCAGTAATTCAAATGAAAGCATACTGGTTTGCAGATTGTATCAGGAGTATTATTGAAACACATAAAGAATTCAAAATTAGTCTAATAAACAAAAGATAACCAAACCCAACCCACTACCATCAAGTTAATTCCAACTCATAGCAAAACTACAGGGGAGTAGAACTGCCCCATAGGGTTTCCAAGGCTATAGATCTTTCTTTTCTTTTCTTTTAATTTTTATTGTGATTTGGGTAAAAGTTTACAGAACAAATTCATTTTCCATACAGCAGTTCCTATACATTTTGTTTCATGACATTGACCACAGTCTCCATAACGTAACAGCTTTCTTCCCACTTCTCTTCCTTGTGTCCTTCCTTCTTCAGCATTCCTGCCCCCTGAGCTGTCTCCCAGTGCAACACTGACCTTCTCTTCTCCCATGATTGGTGGTTCTAAGGAGCATATCTACCTGGTGTTCACCCTGCTTGCCTGTCTATTGTTTGGCTGGAAGCCATGGGAGTGAGTTAAATTCTAGGCCTGATATTGAGGAAGAGGAAGACATAGAGAGGTACATGGGAGGTACAGACAACAAAGATGACCCCTTTTGCACATACAGTACTGTGTTGTCAGTGAAGGCAAACATGGGTATATGGGTAGACAGATGGATGGACAGGCTGAACTATTAGGTATGTCTATGCAGTGGGGAGTGTACCTAAGACCATGTATAGGGTTGGCAGACAATGGTCCTATGTATTTGTATGATCTGTAAGAATTCCCAGGTGTATAATAGAGCTAACAAGGGATAAGGTTGTAGTCACTTCTTAGTCACAGCCAGCTACCCAGAGGGAGTGAGTAGTTGAACCTGTGGGCTCGGGACCATACTCGCAGGGGACATCAAGCTCAATTGACATAACATACTACACAAAACATTGTTCCACCTCCTACTTTGGTGAGTAGTGACTGGGATCTTAAAAGCTTGCACACAGCCATCTAGATGCAGCAATGAGTCTCTCCTTGTCCAGAGCAAAGAAGAATGAAGAAAACCAAAAATTCATGGAAACAATCAGTCCTAGCAACTGGTACACCATGTGATCCACAGTCTATACGACTATGAGACCAGTACTAGATGGTGCCCGGCTACCAGTGTGACCCACTTGGAGGGGAATCTATGGAGGAGATCCTGAATAGAGAGGGAGAGCAATGTGGAACAAAACTTAAAATCATTTGGAGAAAAAAAAAAGGGGGACCAGGTTTGCTGGTCCGATAGAGCCTGGTGGAACCACTGAGACTATGGCCCCTAGCTGCCCTTCAGATCTGGAATTGAACCCACACCTGTGGCTTCCAGCCAAACAAAAGACAGGCATATGAGTTGAACATGTGCCTGAGGTAGATACACTCCTTGGAGAGAACAATCTTGGGAGAAAGAAGGGTGGTTTATGCACCAGGACATAGTTAGGGGGCAGGAGTGCATGGAGGGATGGACACAGAGAAGAGGGAACTATGGGGAGGAAGTGGGAGGGGAGCTGTTGCATTGGGGTAAATTGTAGTCAATGTTATGAGACAAAGTGTGTGTGAACTGCTGTATGGAAGGTGAATTTGCTCTGTAAACTTTCACCCAAATCACAATAAAAAATAAAAATTCTAGGCCTGACGGGTAACCTTGGAGCCACAATCTCCAGGGGTTTCACTAGACTCTATCAGACAAGGCTGTAAATCATTATGGAAGCTGACTGCCTCATCTTTCTCCTGAGGAGCAGCTGGTGGGTTTGAACTGCCAGACAAATGCTTTAACAATAGCCCAGGAGAGCTCCCTAAACAAAAGATAAGGAAGGGGATACAAAGATAAGGGAGGATATTCACAGTATGAAACAACAAAAAGCATGAAAAAGAACAAGCAGAAATACAAAGTATTCAGGAATCTGTTGCTGAATAACAAGTCACCCTAAACATAATGGCTTAAAACAACAACAATCAACAGAAGCATTTATTTTGCTCACAAATCTGCAACTTGTGTAAAGCTCAGTGGGGACAGGTCTTCTCTACATGACATCACTTGGGGCTGGAGGATCTACTTCCAAGATGACTCATTCTCCTGTTATTACTGGCTATAGGCTAGTTAGTAGCTCATCTGAGCCTGTGGGCCAGGGCATTGTGTCCTCTGTGTGTGGGCATCTCCATGAGCTCTTTGACAGCTGTTTGACATAGTGGCTGGATTCCATGAGTAAGCCTCCTGTAGTGGATTAAATGAAAAAAACAAACCCATTGGCGTCAAGTTGGTTCTGACTCATAGTGACCCTCCAGGACAGAAGACTGCCCCATGGGATTTCCAAGGCTGTAAATCTTTTTTTTTTTTTAAATTGTGCTTTGAGAGCGAATTACAAAGCAAACTTGTTTTACATTCAACAGTTCATAAACATTTGGTTTCAGGGTCCCAAGTACTGTGCCCAACCAAAGAAACTCTCCTCCCCTCTGCTCCCTGTGGCCACCCCCTCCCTGTGCCCCTCTCATCCATGCATTCCTGTCTGTCCAGCCTTCCCTCTATGTGAATGCTACCCCTCTGGAGTCTCATGGCTGTTTGATCCAAGGGGTGTATATCCCTAGAATAGGTGGGTGCCTCAACCTGGGGTCGATGTTCTGTATGTGGGTCTTTCTGCTTTTGGGCTGAAAGCCAATCCATGTAAGTGAGTCCATTTCTAGGCTTGAAGGGTAATGCGGGGCCATAGTCTCTGCAGGGCCATAGTCTCGAGGGTTACACCAGTCTCTATCCGACCAGTAATTCTAGTCATTTTTGTGTTTTTGAATTTTGTTCCACATTTTTCCTCCCACTCTATCCAGGATCTCCAGGTTTGATGCCTTTCCAAGCGGTTGACATTGGTAGCCAGGCACCATCTAGTTCTGGTCTCGGGTCATGGAGGCCGAGGTTCTCATGGTCCATCTTACCTTTGGACTAATTGTTTCCAGATAACTTTGATTTTCTTCACTCTTCTTTGCTCCATCCAAGAGGAGACCAATAGTTGTATCTAAGATGGCCGCTTGAAAGCTTTTAAGACCCCAGTCACTACTCACCAAAGTAGGTTGTGGAACAAAGTTTTTATGAAGTATGTGTGCCGATTGAGCC